TTCTCAGTAAATCTACTTCCGGCCTCCAGGTTCATGGCAGCACCTGTAACGTTCTGGAAGGTGAACCTTGTGGAAGAAAGCAAGCCGAGACTATATGAAGAACTTCTGTCATTATTATTTAGCCTGGTTGATTTGGGTTCACACGAGGGAAATTACATGTGCTGGGATTTTATACCTTTCAAAGCACTTTCACTTGACCCTTAAAATATTCTGTGAGGGAGAAAGGGCAGGTATTTTCTCTCATTTTTATTCCACAAAGATCCCCCGATTGCTCACCATGTGCCTGCTAATGCTTGGGGGAGAGCCGTGAACAAGGCCCCGTCCTGCCTTGGAGAACTACAGTCTGGGGGATAGCCCACATCACTGGTTAGTCCCAGGTGACCCCCCCTTCCAAGTACTGACCAAGTTTCCAAGATTAAACATTTTCAGGTCGTTGTGCCAAAGTCCCAATTTCAAGGCAAGGAAAGTCAAGGCCCAGAGAGGTTGAACAAATTGGTAAAACCAAACAGTCAGCCAGGAACAGAAGGGGAGATGAGCCAGCTCAGATTTATTATGTGTCAACTATGTGCTTTTGCCCCCCCTATTAGCCATCCCCACAGATGTCACCTGAGCTAATGTTCAATGACCCTTGGGTAATCTCTACTTTCTAGGTAAACTGAGGGTCAGAGATAATCTAAACATGCTCAAGGTTCACAGATAATGAGGGGTAGAGCCTGAATTTGTTCCCAAAACAAACCTTAACACAAAGCCCCAAATTCTTTCTCTTCTACCAGCATATTCCAATTTTCCATCATTAACAAACTGCTCTCACAAGTTTTACCATATGGACAGAAAACAAAAATGTATTCTGTAACTTCACGTTTTCTATTTAACATCCTCCTAAGCAATACCACCCATGAAGTTGCAATTTGATAGGAGTTAAAATTAAAAGTTGTAGTCTGTATACTGCTTGAAGTAATCTCAGATACTACATCAAACTCACTCAGAGAAACGCTCATCCTTGCCAGTCTGCATCTCAGAGACAGAATCTAAACCTGTCACTTTCTACAGTTCCTGAGAATTTGTGCAATTTTTGTATTTCTGCTGTGTTGCAGTCACGATGGGGACTTATGAAGAAGGAATGCTCCTCACATGGACTCCCAAACATTAATTTAACCTCTGCTCAACCTATGTGGTTATAGATTTTGGAAGAAAATAATAAAATGTCCAAAGAGTTCCAGTGATGAGAAAATAGGGCAAGGCCCCTCTGTAAGGCTTCCTACGTGGGTTTCTCATTAGGATGGTTTCAAGAATAATTAGACTTGTCTGTGATTTAATTCTTAAAACTAGAGGCCTTCTCAGTTGAAGGATTCCTAGAACAGCATAAGACAGCACTGTAGAAAGAGAATTTCATGAAGCAACATTTAGCTGTCCTCCATTCCTAGAATAACCTTCTGGTGGCGGTGCAAACTTGGAAAAGTCCCTCCCCCTTCTGGATCAGATTATTTTCTAAAATAGAAGTTCCATATGAACCGGGGACATTTTGTTTTGTACACCTTTGTGTCCCAGCACCTAGAACACTTGTTGGCACGTATTAAGTTCAATAAATATTGGCTGAATGACTGAATGAGTCAACCCATTTATCTATAAATGAACTAAAAGACCTCTAAGGTCTCATCCAATAAATAGAAATAAAATGATGCTACAGTCCAGGAAGCCATGGGATTAGAAGATAGTATCTGAGTACAGACCCCCCATATCCACAAATTATCTGTGGATAGTCTAATGAATCTAAGCTGAAGGAAATAACAAGTCTTCCAACTAGATCACAGGCCAGGGGCCCAGCACTGATGACACCATAGGCTGGTGAATCTGTAAGAGCCTGAGCAGTAGTAGTCCAAAGGGGTTATTAGTCTCCAGTGGACTGATTGAAACCTCCAGCCTTAGGCCACAGTCATTAAGGACTTGGATGAGAACAAAGAGAGCTAGTTATCAAATTCCTATGTGACAGGAAATAGTAAGAAGCAGCAAATATACACATGGCAAAATCAGAATCTAAAATGGTTTGGGTAGGACAAAATGACATAGGGAGTTTAAAAATGTAAAATAGAAAGGAAATAGATGTTTTCCCTTTTGGCCAACAGCATGATTAAGAAATGAAGAACAAGTAATTTGCAATACTGTGTATTTAAAAGACTGCAATACTGGTCGACTGCATGCAGAGTAGAAGTCAACAGTGTGACGTGGATGCCAAAAAGTCCAATGCAATCTCATATTGCATTAACAGAAATAGAGTGCTCACAACACGGGAGACAAAAATCCCCTTCTACTCCATGCTGGAATACCGTTGCAATTTCTGATAAACTTCAAGGAAGACAGTATGGTGATTAATGTAACGTAATTAAAAAAAAAAAAAAAAACTTCAAGGAAGACATAAACACACTGAAACACAACCAGAGGAAAGGCAGAAATCAGGGAGGAAAAAATATTCCAGAAGAGGAACGGAGGACATTTAGCCTAGAAAAATCAAAGACTTTAGGAAGAAAGGGGGAAAAAAAAACACAAGAGCTGTCTTTAAATATTTCAAGGGAAATCGAATTAGCCTCATCGACTGGAAGGTATAGCAGGGTAGTGAGTATGTTCTGCTAATTAGAGCTATTACTCCCCAAAATGGGCTGCCATGTGAGAGGTAGGTCTCATCATAGGAAGTGGGTGTGTAGTAGAGAAGGTTGATGAGGGCAAGGATCCTTCCAATCCTGACAGTGATGGTGTAAGAGGGCTAAGCCCATCATCATACCATGAGTAGGGCTGTCGGTGCAGATGAACACAGGTCTCTAGGTTAGGATCTACACTGGCATACCCCAGCCTTGGATTCTCTCTGAAATCTAGAGTGCTATTCAAATTTGGCAAAAAGTGACTGATTTTGCCTAGAAGAAGCAACATTTCTGAGCATTTCCCTCCAGTCCAAGGCCTGGCTTAGTGGTGCAAGACAGGCAAAGAAAGGTGGGACCGATCTAGAAGGAGCTGCAGGGTAGACAAGGGAACGGACTGGGTGAATGGAGAGATGAGTAATAAGCACTGCTATAATATAATCAAAATCAGAGGAGATCCTCTCTTCAGAGCTCTGCAGAGAAAGTTTTTTGGACACAGGTTTGTCTTCTCTTCTCCACCCTACCTTATGTCTCCAGTTGCTCAAAGAAGAAAAATGGTCCTGTGTCTAAGGAAGCTCCCACTAAGATCTAAAACTCAGCCCCATCCGTTAGTCTGTTTCCCCAGCCATGAAGTTGAGAGGCAGAAGAGCAAGGCCAGGTGCTCAGAAATGCCTCACTGACACCTAAGAATTAGAGTGCCTCCCACTTATTGAACATCTATTATGCGTCAGACACTGTGTCAGGTCTGACATTTTATGTTCCAAGTTACCTATTATTTTACAGCTGAAGAAATTACGGCTCAGAGAGGTTAAATGGTTTGGCTAAGATGTCACCACTTCAAAATAATCACAGCTCATATTCACTAAATACTTCCTCTGTGTCAGGGGCTGTTTTTAAGCAATTACGAGTGTTATCTCATCTATTCCTCACGACAATCCTACCAGATAGGTTCTCCTATTGTCCCCATTCCACAGATGAGAAGAATAGCCTCAAGGGGCCTAAATGACTTATTCACAAAGTCACAAAGCTACAAAGTAATATACCCTAGCACTCTTTCCTATGGGACACACTGAGTCTCTGTAGTAGGAGAAATAACCCTAGCTCTGCCTCTGGTCTGCCAGGCAGGGGCCTCGAGCAGATCAGAAAGGACGGAGACTTTGACTGGTGGCTGCGACCTCTGGGTCCTACGATGGGACAGAGATGCGTGTGCAAGGTCAGGGGCCTACAGGGCAAGGAAAGAGCACCCAGAGGGCCCGGCCGGGCAGCCCAGAGTGGTCCAGCCAGGAGCTCGTCGCAGCTGACCCAGGAGCCCACGCACGGCCACGCCGCTCTTCGAGGGGAAGCGACCCCTTCTCCCTACCACCTGCACACGACTCCCCGGGCCATCGGGCCCCAGCTGCTCACTGCATCTTCTCTTGCCGGGGGAAAGGGCCATTCTGTCTTCCTAAGAAAATGCTCCAAGTCTGGTGGAAACTCTAGCACTTCACACCACTTCTTCTTTTGCCAAGTGGGTCACAAACCGGGAGGCTTTTCAGCAGAAGCTGACCCTCCCCATCCCTCCTAAAACACCAAACCGAGTAAAAGGTACTTTCCTGGAGGGGGCGGTGGCAGCAGTTGGCCTGTGATGGGGAGTAGTTTATGACTGACATCGTTTAGAACCACCGGTACATGGTGATGACAAAAAGCAGACCCACTCTTAGTCAGCTTCACTACTGCTTTTAAATTCTCTAAAGACCAGGCACGCCGTGACTGCCTGCACCCGGGAGACTGTCCCCCTGGTAGGCCATGGCCTGGCAGGCTGCTCCATGACTTCTGCAGCCCATGCCTGCTCCTCAGACACTTCCTCAGTGGCCAGCAAGAAGCTCCCCGGGCACTTACCAGATCAGAGATGAAGACTTCACTTTTAAAAGATCAGACGTCAAGCGCCCATCAGACGAAGTCAAATGACTAGGCAGAAGATGAGCTGCATTTCCCTTTTAGAACTTTCACCTATCCATATCAAGTTGCAACTTTAATTGCTCTTAGGTGCACATAATCATCCGTCTATAAATCAGCCCATTCGAGGCAACCATACGGGCAACTCCAAAAAAAAAAAAAAAATGGAGTTGGCAGCAACCCACACCCCCCAACTGTCCTAACGCGGGGCCTGTGCCCTTCCTCTCCGGTGATTTTTCTTCTGTCTCCCCGGAGGAGGCCAGCACATTCATTGTCTTCCAACACCTGCAGAGAGGCCACACAGGCCAGCCACTGAGGAGGAAAGCTCCCTAGGGAAGTGCTGAAGGAACAAGTAGTAGGCCACCTGGGCTGCCGTCTCACCCCGTGTAGGCCGATTTCCAATCATGAACCAATGCACAGAAGGCGTTTGCTTACCTGGACTGGAACGCTCTATCTGCTGCAACGTCCTCAGAACTTGGTGTATGTCCTTCATGCTGGTGTCTTTCTGGCTATACAGAAGAAGCCGCTGAGCATCTGAGAACAGGCGAGACACGCTGCAGGGGGTGCAAGAAAAGAAGAAAAGCCCTGGTTAGACTAGCTGCCTCTCTGGCTTGAAGAAAGTACCTGCCAGGAAAACATGCCCCCACCATGTTTTCCATGGGCCAGCCCTGGTCCACTCCCACTACTCACCACAGCCAGCAGCACCGATAGTCTGGGCTCTTTCCCATCCACCCGCCATCCCTGCCCTGAATGCTCTTCCCGGGTGTCCACACAACCAAATCTTACCACCCTTCAAGGCCCAGCCCACGTGCCTCCTCTCCAGGAAGCCCTCACACCCACCCACCCACCCACCCCCACACACACATCCAGGACCAACTTATCCATGAGACACAGAAGCACAGTGCCTAGGGCCCAGGATGCTCTTAGGGGTCCACAAAAATTTTTAATGTCTTTTAAAATCAGAATTAAAAAAAAATGAAATTCAGAAATTCAGGATGAATATATAGGATAATGAATCTAACCTAGATTATAGTCATCTTTACACCAACACAGTTTATCAAATAAAATTTTTAATATTTCTGCGTGCAAGGAGGTCCCTGAAAGCTACAAAGCCTAAGGTCCACGGACGTTATAATGTTGTCCCGTCTGGCCTGGCAGCAGCTTCCTCGAAACTGTCCTGATACATCTCCTACAGTCCTTTGTCCACTCGAACTCATGCCACGGTTCTGTGCATTCCAAGAATCTTCAATGGCTCATTCAGCAAACACTTACTAAGTCCATATTTATGTCCAGTATTGAAGCCAGGAGCCAGGAAGACAAAAGCAAAGGAAGCAACATCCTGGCCCTTGGGGAACTCACACCGGGGAAGAGAGAGACCTGCAGACATTGGGACACCGCAGTATGACAGGGCAGTGACAGAGTCAGAGTGAATCTGGGAGCAAAGGACCAAACTCGCCCAGCCCAGGCAGTGAGCTCCTTGCGGGCAGGCTCCCTCCTGTGCATATCTCTGTACCACCTCCCCCAGCACCTAGACCAGCCGCTTCAAATGCACAGGAAATGTTGCTAAGTGAGTAGGCTAATGAATGCACAGAGCTGACATGCTGTGTCTCCCCCGCCCCTACTTACTGACCAGTTTTTGGAAGAATGGCCCCCAACCACAGGACCCTTATTGTCATAGAGCTACATATTGTTACTCCTAAAATGCACCAAAGTAAGATCCCACAGTCTTAAATCCTGGCAGCAATTCTCCATGCCCTTGTTCTTCAAATCTTTACAAAAACAACCTCACTCAAATTCAACCATTCAAAATTCTCCAGAGGTTGAGAAGGGAAGGAAGAGTATTAACTGACAAGTTTGGAAAGAAAACCCGATATAGTACTTACATGGATTTGTTAAAGTTTCCAAGAACCCCAGGGGCCTCACCGGGAGTCGGATAACGGAAACAGGGGTTATTGGCATTACAGATAATCCCCTGAACCCAAGGAAGCGTTCCTGCAGAGGGCATGGCTTTGTTTGGAAAGTGGCCTATGAAATCAAGAAGAAGAAAAAAAAAAAAGAGACACATTAACTCTCTGAGGCAATTTTGGGGACTCGACAGGACCCTCTATCTCTTTTGCTTCCACCCGTACACTGCTCCATCCCAAATGTGTGTGTCCCATCCCTCACACCCCAGACACCTGCCACCTCTGGACTAATCCCAGCCTGAGCTGTAAACTTGGCATCAGACAGTAGTTCTTAATCTACCTGCATCATCTGTAAACGGCGGTTCATGACCTCAGCCATGGGGAAGTGACGAGAGGGGCAGAGTAGACCACACACAGAAAGTGCCTGACGACCCTTACTTCACCTTCCACCGCCTGCCTCACCTGCCAGAGACATGGAGGGCCCTGGGAATGGCCTGATCCAATTCCTTCATTCTCTAAGGAGACCACAGCAAGATGAAGTGGCAGGTGGAGAATGCTCAAGGAGGGGCGCCTGGGTGGCTCAGTCAGTGAAGTGTCTGCCTTCGGCTCAGGTCATGATCCTGGGATCGAGCTCCGCGTCGGGCTCCCTGCTCAGCTGGGAGTCTGCTTGTCCCTCTCCCTCTGTCCCTCCCCCTCCACTCATTCTCTCTCTCTCAAATAAAGAAATAAAATCTTAAAAAAAAAAAAATGCTGAAGGAGTCAGTGGGCAGGACTGGGAGTGGAACCCACATTTCCGTGATCCCAATCCACATTCCTTCCCTTATATCCGAGGCTTCCCTTGTGCTCTACCTCTTCTCAGTCCCCTCGGGTACTGTCCTTTGTTGGCCAAACATGTTAGTTTCTCTTCCTCTGCCAGCCCATAAGCTCCTTAAAGGCACGTAATAAACACGCTAACTTGGGGTCAGATGTCATCTGTGAAGCCACCTTTGTTGTCAGTGTTGTTCTGCCGCTCATCCAAACTACGAGCCCCATCCCATAGGTCACCTCCTCACTTTCCTTTCCCTTCGTCACGGAGGAGCTGCTGACAAACAGCAGGTTTGGGGGTCCTTGGGCAGGTCCTCGGTGTCAGAGGCACACCTTGGGTGTAGTAGGCAGCCACAGGGGCCACTGATGAGGATCAAGACAAATGTGCCCTGGGACCAGGGGCTTTTAGCCGAAGGACCAAGCATGTGTGAATTCCTTTGGACAGAAAGGCCATGGCTCCAGCTTTCATCATATTCTCAGGGTTACCTGTGACCCTAAGAGAGTTAACAACCATTAAAAACAATGGCTCTAAGTGACAAAGGGCTGTGCAGCTTTACAGGGGTTGGGGTCAGACCTACAGGGATTCATATCCAGTCCCCGCAACTTGCTAAGTAGCAACTTCGGCCAAGTTACCCAACCCCTACGTCAGTTTCCTCAGGTGTAAAACGGTGACAGAAATACAGTGGACTCCACAGAGCTGCAGTGAGTAGTGCGTGAGTTCTTACAGGCAAAGCAGGTAGCAGAGAGCCTGGTCCAGGGCAAAGGCCCGGAGAGCGAGCCTGTCAGGACTGTTGCAGCACTCTGGTTGTGAGCCTACGACAGTACTCATTCCACCACTGTCCAGCCAGAAATACTCCTTCCACCCCACAGCCACGACCTTCCTCCAGAGCAGGAATCCCGTTTCATTCATCTTACTCTTTTCGCGCAGATATGCTAACAGAGTCTCCCCAGAAGGTAAGCTACAGCCAGAAATTGCTACCCTCTGCATTTCTAATATTGGGGTCCCTTTTTTCTTTTCCTTCTATCATAGTCCAACCAGAGAGGCAACCTCCAAAGCAAGGATGTAACAAGATCTGATCACTGTGGCCACCCTCTGCAGGGACTCTGGCCTGTTGAACGTTTACTCAGTAAACCTCCTTATCTCCCTGTTAATAGTTCAAGGAAAACCAAACAAGGTCCCTTGCCTAGGTCAGCTGCTCCTCATGCAGGGAAAAGTTTATGTAACCCAACCAAATACTCGAAGAATTAAGGGATTCTCTTTAACCTCCTGAAGATACTGGCAGCCAAAATAGGGTGGTGTTGGTCCAGGCAGCACTGGGCAGTGGAGGGGAAGTTATTTCAAGCTAATCCCTGGGGAGTAAAACAAAGACCCTTCCCTAGAGGTCCCACCCGATTTGCAAAAAAAAAAAAGGCAGTATGGGGACTTGGCATTTGGTATACAGGACGACAATCAAATATCGTAATGGACCTCCACAGCCCAGGGAAGTGATTAGGACCTTGATGGCTCTCGATCAAACTCGGAAAGATTTATGGGGAAGAATTAAACACCCATCTTTTGTTCCCAGGCACAAGACACCTCTGCAGGCTTCATCTTAGCTCTCTGCCCTTCTAGCGAGGTCCCTAGAAGGTGGTGAGAATAGGAGGGTAAGGTTGCAAGAAGTGCACAGGTGGGGGCAAAAGTCGCATCTGCCTTCTGTAAGTACAGCAATTTCACATTTCTTAGAATCTATAATCTAGATCTAGAGGGATCTGGGTTAAAATTCAACAACTTGCCCAAGGTCATGACCTCAGCAAGAGGTGTAGCAAGGATCCAAACAAACCCCAATTTGTCTGATGCCAAGGTACGCACTATTTCCACTACACCGTCTTGCCTGCTTGTGATTATTCCTGAGAGAGCACAGCCTAGCAGATAAAAAGGCTGAGTTTTCCCTAAAACCCTAAAACATGTACTTCAGTGAAGCTTAGGGTAATGCTAAAATAAAATCAAATATGCATTTGTTCATTAATCTTTCGGGCACCAAAAGAAAAAGCAGAATTACATTCCAGGCCCACAAATTGAGCATATATTTCATTTTATGCTCTTTTCCTTTCTGGCGAAATCAGAAAAAACGCATCTGGTAGAATGTTCTTGAGGTTTTGTGGATTTCGGATTTTTTTTAAACTTCAATATGTATAAGATGTATTAGCAAATTAGCAGGTAAAAAAACTGCCACTATGTGCTGTGAGAGAGATGGGACCAGCCTAAGAACACAATTAAAAGGTGTCCTTAACCCCATCTCTTCCTCTAAGAACGATATCCTGCAAAAATATCCTGCGCAGCCGGCGAGCTGTGAGCGGAGCTAGCTAATGGTAAGAAAAGGCACCGAAGCAATGGAACAGAGGTCCCAGTAAAACCTCCCACATAAACGTTGACCCTTCAGACTGGGACATTTCTGCAGTCAGTCCATCCAATGAGCCTAGCCAGGAGACAAAGATGGTGATGACAGAATGACACCCAGGACAACCACATGGGGTAGGTGTCGTCATTCCCCTTTGATAAATTTGAGGACAATCGGGTACAGAGAAGTGAAGTCACTTGCCCAGGGTGATATACCTAGTAAAGTAAGTGTCGAGGCCAGGATTCAAACCCAGGTCACCTGACATCGAGAGCGTGTATTCTTAGCCACTACTGTATTTTCTACCCTCACTATATAGGCCATCACCCAAACACATGCCCAGGAGTCAGATGATTGGAGCTCGATTTCCTCTGTGTCACTTATTAGATGTGTGACCTAGGGCAAGTCCTGCACTTTTTGGAGCCCCAATTTACTTATTGAGAAATTAAAGCAAACGCTAACAATGAGGGTCTATTATACAAGGTTGTTATGACAATCCAATGAAATCATATTAGGCAATCTGAGCAGTCCTATACAAATGCTGCTTAAAATGATATGTTCCTGATTTGCAACTGTGCAATAAAGATGTAATGCATATAAAAAAACAAAAACAAAAACAAAACCTGGCAGGGTCCAGATGAGAGCTGAGTTAAGGCACTGCCTCAGGGGGCTCTTTTAATCACCATCCTCTGACTTATCGGTAAGCTGCTTTTACTTTCATGATCTAAAATGCATGAAACAGATGTTGGCTATTATTATAATTACTGTTATCACCATTGGCTAGGACTGAAAATGGTCTCCTGAGTTCACGCCTTATCAGAAAACAGGAAGCGTTTCTATTCCAAACCATGTGCGGTGTTTCCTAAAGATAGTGGCTTAGGACAAATGTAGTCCGTGCCCACTGCCTGGATGTCGCGTGCCAGCAGTCTGACGTGGGACGCTCAGATACTCACATTCATGTTGTTCATAGGGTGGGTAGCTCAGCCGGACGGAGATCAGGATCAGGAAGATAAACAGAGGCCAGGCCACTTCCAGCAACAGCTGACACTGAGGGGGAAATAAGACAGAGCACTGTGAGTTTAAAAAATAACATGGATGCTTAACTCTGCTGGGCTTTGGGAAATCCACAGTTGTTAATTAAACAACTGATGGGCTCTTCAGCCTCTCCCACTACTCTCCAGGCTTTATCAATGCTGAATTGTTTGCAGTTCTCATAACATACTATTCCACACCTCTGTGTTCTCCTGAAGAAAGGGAAAACCCTTCCTATCCTGCTTCATCTGGCTCATTACTTCCTATTCATTCTTCAACACACTCCAGCACCATTTCCTTGACTAAAATCTCAGGCTAAGTGAGAAACCCTTCTCCTGTAACAGTAACCCATGCATATTCCTCCCAGAGCCTTTTCCTCCAGCCTGAAATCACCCACCACTGGCTTCCTCAGGCAATAGGAGCACCCTGAAGGCAAGCACTCAGTCAGCTTTGCATTCCCAGCCCTCGGGCAGTGTCAGGTAGGGAAGGACCTTTAGTGGAAAGGAGAGGGCGGGGCAACCTGCTGGGCTCAACACACCACCTCCGCTCCTTAAACGGCACACACAGTTGGGCTAAGGCTCCAAAGGACAATGGAAATTGACACAGGGTTCCATATGGACCTCTGTGCCTCCAGGACTGGAAAGAGCTGGGAAAAATGCAAAATTCTCCTTCCCTGTCTATCAGGGTCTCCGTACCACCTTCTCCAGTCGGTTAGAAGATCATTAAACTTACAAGTAAGCATGATCCACTCTGGTTAAAACAGTGCAGTGTCTCTAAAGGAAAACCCTGCCTCAGTGAGTTGCCAAGGGATAAATAAGCCCAGGGACAAGATGGAAATCGTTAAGACATCATTTTATTGAACCAGGGGTGAGCTACACTGCCTGAAGACTCTCACCTCTTTCATTCCCTTCATTTCTAGACTCTGAGGTTCTAATTAGGATGAACACCAAAGAGCCCAGAAGAGTCACGGGGCCTTGTGGTTATGAGTAATTAAAACTGTGGCTGCAGAACCACAAAAATCAATAGAACACTGGCCTGAAATCCCCCCCCTTTTTTTTTTCAAACAGAATTTTTTTTCTTGATCTTTAAGTCCATACATTTTTAGTGGAAAATTTGAAATTAAAAAATTCTAGAAAAGTAGGAAAAAGTAAATACGAATCACCCTTAATCCTACTTTCCAAAGATAATCCCTAGTAAACTGAGCTAACAGTGCCCCCTATTAATATTTTGGTCTTTTTTTTCTATGCATACATGAATATTTTTCTCTACAAAACTGACATTATACAGCATATATAATTCTGTATTTTGCTTTTTCATTTAACATTACAATGGGAGTATTTTCCATGACAAGATATTCTCTTAAAAATGGATTTTAATGGCCATTTTGATATTCCATCCTGTGAAAAGATCATAATTAATTAAACTGTCTGCTCTTGCTGGTGCTTCAGAGTGTTTTTGCTTTTTTGTTTATCATTTGTGGTTGCATTTTGGTATTTTAAATAACCCATTTTTAATTTCCAAAAACCTTCAGTATGATTACCCATTAAAGTCTTTTTTAAAATCGTCTTTTTGGAAGGAAATACAAAGATGATAATAGTAGATGTCCTGGGGTGATAAGAAGATGGGTGACTTTTTTTTTTTTTTAAACACTTTCCTGTGTTTCCTAATTCTTCCATAATGAGCATGTATTACTTCTTGAATGGAACAAAAATCCACTGTTACCATATAACCATGAAGAATAATTTATACTATTTGATAGCACATGGTGGCATAGGGGGGTGATGGGGGGTGGGGGTATAAATGGGTCCCTCTTTGGAAGAAAGCATGCTCTCAATGGGGTCTCCAAGACCAAAGACATGGCTGGTCTTCCTAATATTTCTAAAAATAATCCCAAAGAGGCAACACACACTGAAATCTCCAAGCTTTCAATGACATTTGGTCTCTTCTACCAGCAGAGTTGGAAGCCCCTCCTTGGAGCCTCCCACGTACTCCGTGCCTTCACCAGCACTTGGTACAGCAGGGGCCCTACTTCAAAAGGACTTTCTCCCCCACTGTCACTTTCTTCTCACTAAGCCTGCCACATAGAAAGTCTTAAAAAAGACTGAGTAAGAGAATGAACTGAAGTTTATGAAATAATAAAGATGGAAATATAAATCAGTGGAGCTGTCTGGGAAAGCAATTTGACCATACATAGTCAAAAGACACGTTTATCCCCTTTGACCAAGTAACATGCATAGGAATTCATCCTACAGAACTAAATTTAAAATATCAATAAGCTGTATACATGAAGTTATTCATCCACTGAAACACTGTAATTACAAAATATCGGAAACAACTTAGTTGCACAGTACTGGGGAAATGATTAAATTATGGTACATCTACTGGACAATATATTATGCTGTCCTCCCATCTATGAAACACAGACACTATTAACCATGTAACACTAAGTGAAAAAAGCAGAACACAAAACTGTATGCATTACAAGCTTACAGCTACATAAAATCACTTACAAATATGAACAGGAATAAACTTTTTAAAAATGGCATTAACTGTGAATGAACTCAGAAAAGAATAATGAATTCAGAAAAAAAACAAAAACAAAATTAAATGAAGAGTATGAGTAAGATAGTCACCAACCTTGGCACTCTGAAGTTACCATCTGTACATTTAGGATAAATAGTAGCTACCATTTTTTTATTTAGAGTCCAGTATGTAGTAGGCACATTACATATGGATTATCTCATTTAATCCTCCAAACAGCCTTGTGGTGTAGGAACCATTACTGTCCCCATTTTATATGTGGCAAGGCTAAAGCTCCAGGAGGGCTAAGTCATGGAGACAGAGGCAGAGTTATGATTAACTGCTAGTTCTGCCCAACTCCAGAGGCCACATGGCATTGAAACAGCATGTGGCCCCGGTGGGAAATGACCGCATTAGTGGCAAGGTCACAAAACATCAACTGGTTCCACCAAGGTCACGTGAATTATAACAGTTACAGCCAATAGTGAGCACCTACTGCATACCAGGTATTTTTACATATCTCATCTCTAATATTTAATTCTCATAATGACTCTGTGAGATAGATTGCATTGTTACCATGAAGCTAAGGTTTGGAGAGGTTATCACCCGCAACCTGGTAACAGAGTGCACCTGCACTTGAACCCAGTTCTAGTGACCCCCTTGTGCTTTTGTACCCATTTTACAGATGAGGACAGTGAGGCCCAGAGAGTTAATAAACAAACATTCAAATGTTGGCAACAGGGTATGAATTTATCAAATTAAAACTACACTGGTGGATTACTGTAAAACTACCAGGAATGTCAATGGCATCCTGCGATGCTAGGGCCAAAAAATCCTTCTCTTACTAACACAGATTTTAATGCATGCCTCTCAGAATTGTTTTGAAATTTAAGAAGATAATGGATATAAAAGCATGTCAAAACTACAAAACGCAGTCTACACACCAAGAATCAGTATTATAACTCTGAAGATTATTTGGAAATATGGAAATATACACACCAAATAATGTCAAGTGGAAGAAGAAAACAGAACGTAAAATGGTACATATACATGTGAGGATTACAACTGTCGCCTTGGGCTATTGTCGCTCAAGTCCCTTCAGTGCCAAGGACCACACAATCTGATCCTCATAATCATGACCCATCCACCTGTGAGACTTCTTCTGTACATAAAATAAAATTCAGCTGTCCTTCTCCAGCTCCAAGGCCAGGCGTGATCTGGCCCTGCCGATCCCCAGTTCATCTCCAGCCAGCCTTCATTCACCCCACCAGTGTCACTGGCTTCTCTGTTCCTTGACTCAGGAGCATGCATTCGGACCCATGGCCTTCACACCTTCTCTCTCTCTACCTGGAATATGGTGCTCCTCATCTCTGAGCTCCTGATCTTCCCCGGCTTGAACTTCAGGGCTCTCGGCTTACCTGTTTTAACTTTCCATCCTAAATTAAGTCCCTACCCATATCCGGGTGGTATCTAACACAGTGCCACAGTTTGTCTGATTTATTTTCTCCTGACACCTAACACAGTTTGTTATTTTATTTTTACTTCTGTGATCATGTATCTCATATCTGCTTCCCTCACTGAACAGTAAGCTCTGCGAGGGCAAGGATCACGTCTGCCTGCTTCACCACTGTACACCCAGCACGCTGCCCCCCATGTAGTAGATGCTCAATAAATATGCATCCAAATGAAACAGTAAATGGCTGTGTTCTAACTTTCTTCATTCCACAGAAGACAAAACTAAAACTCAAGAGAAGTGGGTTTCCCTCAGCCATTGAGGCACATGGTGGCCAAGCTGGAATTAGAACTGAATTAGAATTAAATAAAAATTAGAATTACTATCTGGATTTGAACCATCACTACAGGCCAGGAACAAGGACAAGGAAGAAATGTATCAGCTTGGGACGCCTGGGTGGCTCAGTCGTTAAGTGTCTGCCTTCGGTTCAGGTCATGATCCCAGGGTCCTGGGATCGAGCCCCGCATCGGGCTCTCTGCTCAGCGGGGAGCCTGCTTCTCCCTCTCCCACTCTGCCTGCTTGTGTTCCCTCTCTGTCAAATAAATAAATAAAATCTTTAAAAAAAAAAAAAAGAAATGTATCAGCTGGAACTGGAAGTGGGGAGGGAATGTGGAAATTTTTCATCTACCCTGGAAAATTCTCTACTGGCTCTTAAATGAGGAGTTTTAATTTTTATTTATTTGATAGTTTATTCCTTATCATTAACCAATGTCCAAATACTGATACTCTATGCAAAAATCAGAATTACCTATTTTCCCAGCCACATGGCTAATCAGATCTCATGGAGACAATTAGTAGCAAAGGCAAAAGAGAGAGGCCATATGGCCACACTGTCCCATCTGTTCCATGGGACCTTGGCCTCTGGCTCAGCCTGAAACCAGATGAGGATCCTGAGAACTCTCAAGCCCCTCGCCCTTCCTGTCCCAAGCCCTGTTTGTGCTGAATGACTGCCACCCACACAAGTTAACCGTTACTT